CTGCCTCTGCCTCTGCCTCTGCCTCTGCCTCTGCCTCTGCCTCTGCCCCTCCCCAGCCCCTGTCCCTGCCCCTGCCCCCAAGACTGCTGGTATTAAAGCATATGCCACCGTGCCTGCCTGGTTCAAGTGATGTTCTTAAAGTCTGTTAACCAACAAGTACTTCTTCTCTTTTACTCCCTTGGTTCAGCCTAATCTAATAAAATTCAAACTTCAGTTTGCACCTTTCTCTTCCTCCTCCTCTTCCTCCTCTTCTTCCTCCTTCTCCTTGACTTCTCACTCTCCTCGTTAACCTGCTTCTTCCTCCTCCTCTCCCTCTTCTCTTCTTCTTCCTCTTCCTCCTCAGTACTTGAAGGTGAGAGTGAGAACAGGGAAGAGAAGATGTCTGTCCTAGGTACCAGTTAGTTCAGAAGGTCAGGAAATGAGGCACCCAGGAAAACAAGGGTAACTAGTGACCTGAAGCCAGGTTGCACTGCAAAGAAGCTTTCCTCATTCAATTTGAGTATAGTATTTGTCTATGAATATAGCAACAAATTATTAAGAAGGCAACTTGGCACCATGCCATATTAGTTAAATAAAAGTACCATCCTCTGACCCCTGGCCTCTGACTCCTTCAGCTTAAGACTTCCTCAGGCATGGGTTGTTCACTGGGTTTTCAGTACCTGGTATGAATTCCATCTTGCAGAACAAGATTCAATAAATCAGAGATCAGTTGGTTGCTACCATAAAAGTTGTGCTACTATTGCATGGGCACATTTAACCTAGCAGGTGGATATTGTACATCATACAGTTCTCAGCTGGATGAAACCATTGAGGTCTCCTCTCCTGCACCAATGGAGAAGGCTTGGCAGCAAGGGAGGAAGCCACAGTACCAGCTTAATTTCTCTATACCCTGTACCTAAGGTGTGTGGTGTCTTCCAAAATAGAATATTATCAACTAGTTATGGCAGGCAATCAAGAAGAGTGACAAGATGCTTTCTTGTTTGGGAGTCTCTAGGGCCTCACTGAGAACTCAATGAAGAAGTATCTCATGCCTAGTTCTGAGAGCTTTGTCTTATGATCTTTGACCTTCAGGTACAACATCATCTAGACACAGAAGGTGTCTTCCTTCTTACTCTCTTTTTAATTAAGCTTCCATGTGGCTTTTTCAAAGATCCTTAGTGTTGGTTAACACTCCCACCCTCACTTCTCTGCTCTCTCTCTCCTCTCACTCCTCCTTCCCTCCCTTCTCACCTTTCCCACCCTCTCCTCTCAGGCTCCCACTCCACACACTCATCCCAGTTTCAGCTTTCTGCCTCCTCCCACCCCCCAGTACACTGTGGTTTCATGTCTCCTATGTCATGCTATTTTCCCTATGTGAGGGATTTCCCACCCAGGTGTCCCTCTTCTGGTTTCCTTGCTTCCACGGGTACTCCAGATTAAACACATAACTAAATATTTGAAGTGAGGAGCTACAATTGAGAAAGGGCACACAGCAGTTCTGTTTCTGAGCCTGCCTTATCTGTGTAACTTTTTAAAAAATTTATCCATTTGCTTGCAAGTTTTGTTTTTACAGCTAAATAAAATTCCATTTTGAACACCTGTACCACATTTTCATCTTCTGTTTCATGGCTTTTTCCCCCATACTTTGAGAAATGAGTTCAACATCACTAAAATTCTCTTACAACTGCCATTGCTTGATCCCTTATTCAATGCTAGAAGCGACTGTGTCTTCTTTAAGCTTTGCTCACCTGAAGTAAGCTTCCCTCTTGAAACAATTCGGTTACTAGAGAAACTTAAATGACTTTGTCACTGTCTGTCCTTACTGTGTACACTTTATCTGATTGATCAGAAACACTTCACCTGCCAAAGTTCTGAACATGCAGCCCTTGCCCTGATCAGCAGCAACTCTCCTCTGAAGCAAGAGCTTCAGAGCTTTCTTGATATTTCTTGAGGAGAGTTAGGCACTGATTTATTCTGTTGAACTGTGTTCAGGAGCTGGGTATTAACGAAACAAGCTAGTCCCTTTGTAGCTCATCAGTCAAGGAATGGGAAGTTACTGCCTGGTGTACAGTGGGGGTATATGGCTTGCCCGGGACACCCCCAAGTCATACATTTTAAATGGATATATTTAACACTAGTAAGCCCACTTCACACTAAAATTATTCATGATTTGGACATTACATTTTGTAATCTCCATACTGTAAGGTCTCAGGGCAGACAGGTCTCCCAGAACATCAGAGAAATCCTGCACATGATGTCCCTCAAAGTTCCCTTTGGGAGTCCCTATCCATTGAGTGATTCATACGACTCAGACAGTTCTAGAAAATATACTTAAAAGTTCTCTATGGAGGTGAATTGGCTTGTAATTGTCTTTGTTACTAGATAATAAGTTCATCACATTTTGGCAAAAGCTCCCATCCTATGGTCTATTCTATTAATCTATTGAATTTGCTGTGTGTGCAAAATTTCTAAATCAGTGGTTATTATCCTTCCTGATACTGCAACACTTTAATACAGTTCCTGATGTTGTGGAGACCTCTTGAACCACATTTTTCTGTTATATTTGTTGCTACTTCATAACTGTAATTTTGATAGTTATGAATCACAATGTAAATATTTTTGGAAACAGGTTTGGCAAAGGGGTTGTGACCTGCTCTTCTAAACTAACATTGTTTCTCTTGTGTTTCAGTTTCCTCTGGCTTACATTGAGGTAAGAGTATTAAATGTTTCATAATCAGAGATATCAATCTTATGAAAGTAACCTGATATTGGAATGTTGTTAATGTTTGTTATTTCCCAGTTCACTTTTATTTATTTTTTCACAGAAAGAATATTACCAAGTTCCCAAATGCTTCCATGACCAACACAGTGATCCTAGATGCGTTGTTATATTTAATACTTTATTGACTTAGAAAATGTACAACCTCTTTCACAGGATCCGAAAACAAACCGAGTTATGCAGTGGCAGGATATTAAGACGAGGAATGGGATTAAGCAAATGTCCTTCAGCCTGGCAGCAGAGCCCATTCAGGGCCCCTACAAGATAGTGTTGCAGAAACAGTCAGGAGTGATGGAAGAACATTCCTTCACTGTGATGGAATTCGGTATGGATTGGGAAGACCAAAAAGAGAAAGTGGGTGTCATAGGTTTCTGGTTATCGTAGGATGAATTATTTTAAACAAATTGAGTTCCAAATGCATATGGCTGGGTTTCATCTGACTCTAGCTAAGGCTATCCATCTAGCAACATGGGACTTCCAGAAGCTGTGAGATCTCCCAGAAGCAAATTACTCGTTTTGTTTTGTTGCTTCTTTTCCTATTTAAGTAGATACCCCTGTGACTTGCAAGAAGTGATGCAATGCATACCACTCAACATTCTAACTTTATTGGGGGGACATGCCTTAATAATGTGAAATCACTATTTCTGAGCACACACTGATCATTTAGAAAACTAAGTGATCATTCCGCACCGAGTGTCTTCTCTCTCTCCCAATAGTGCTTCCCAGATTTGATGTTGACGTGAAGGTCCCAAGTGCCATCTCTGTGCATGATGTGATACTCAGTGTGACTGCATGTGCAAAGTGAGTGACCTGCTTCTGTCCTTTTAGCCTTAAAGACTGAAGGAGCTGATAGGGTTTGAGGCCCCATGGGGAGAGCAACAATACAAACCAACCAGAGCTCCCAGGGTCTAAACCACCAACCTAGGAGCACATAGGGAGGGACCCATGGCTCCAGCTGTATATGTAGGGGAAGATGGTCTTGTCCTGCATGGGTGGGAGAAGAGGTTCTTGGTCCCATGAAGAGTGGAAGCTGAGTGTGGGAGAATTTGAGGTTGGGGAGGTGGGAGTGGTTGGTGGGAGCACATCCTCATAGAAGCAGGAGGAAGGGGGATTGGATAGAGGGTTCCTGGGTGGAGGGGGGAAATAGGGAAAGGGGATGACATCTCTAATGTAAATAAAATATTCAAAAAAAAGAGGAAAAAAAAGGAATGGGCTTTGACCCAGAACATACCTAGAATGTCTAGTAGCACAGAAATGCTACAGTCCTGTCCTTCCCCCACTACAATATTTCCCCTGTGGTATTCGCTTTTGTCCCCTACTGCTCTGCATCGATTCACTGCATACATTGCTGATATCAATGGATAAAATCAATTGTATGAGGCAATAAAGATGTCCTGCCTTTGGAGACAGGAAAACACCTAATGAGATTCACTGAGCCATGTGAAGAGAACACAAGCTCTAAATCAAGGCATCTCACTGCTCTCTTATGGGATGACAGAAAACAGAGAAACAAGAGTTCCCAGTCTTCCTCCAGCTCAAACCACTGCCAAGTTTAACCTTCAGACATATCAGTCTTCTGCTTGCATTTCTGTGCCTGATAAATTAGGATATTGTACTACAACTAGAATTTCTATTTCAGTCTAGAATCATAACGAGAAGGAACTTGCATTATGTGCCTGAATGAAACCTCAGCTCGTAGTTGCTTGTCCTTACAGTGGACGGACTCAAAAACTTAAAAGGATAGAACAGAACCAAATGATTAAGGAGGATTGTTAGAAAAGCCGAGTCCTTTCCCATGCTCCCCATTCATCTCGGCCCCATCATTTAGTAGCTGGGGATCCTGGTTTGTTTACTTAATCTTTTTCAGAACCACAAAAGGGAGAAAGGAATGTCCTCAATAGGTTCTTAATAGGGCTAATTTTTATTATTAATTAATTAATTTACATTGCAAATTCTTAACATATACAGTTAGAAACTGTCAGGAAGTAATATTAATGGACCATGTCTGTTGTCATTATGAAACTACAAAGAATCAGTGAGAAGACAGTGGGTCTCTGCTTTTGAAAGATGCTTTGTCTCTGTGAATCTATCTTGTGACAGATATACCTATGGGAAACCTGTCCCAGGAGGTGTAAAGATAAGCATATGCCCTGAAAATCAATACTTTGACTCTGAGACTGAGTCTGAATGCAAAGAAATCAACTCCCAGGTGAGTGAATCTGTTCAAAGGCCTGTTTTAAATAATCAAGGTTAATCAACAGAAAGGCAGACCGCAAAGATGAGAGGAAACTCATACCCAGACACTGAAGGAGGATATCTGGGACCTTGGGCTGTAGCTCAGGGATGGAACACTAGCCAGGCATGTGTGAAATCTCCAGAAGCCCCTCACTGACAAAAGTGATAGTCCTGGGACCCACTACAATTAAAGGCATATTTCAACATCTTTCCTTGGCCACCAAATTTATTTTGAGTATATATTCATTATACAAAATAGTAGGTTTATGATATTTCCATACATGTGTGTCATGTATTTTAACCACAGTCCCCTGTCCCACTGCCACCTCTGCTCTCTTAGGTCCTCACTTTTATGTGTCCTTCTCCTCTTCCTATATAAACCCCACTATTTTTGTGTCTTATAGACTATTGTTTGAAAATGAACTTTTAATAAACACATATATAATGTAAGTTGTACAAAACAATATGCTGTTTATGATTTATTCATTCACATGTATCATGTACTTGACTACCTCATTCATCATGTACCTCCTTCTTTCCATTCCTCCTCTCACCTGACCCTTCCTCTTCCCAAACTGAAAAACTTCTGTTTTGCTGTCTTTTCCTTCTGTTTTGTTTCACCTCCCATATGACAGAAAACTGCACTGTTGTGTGTTGGAGTCTGATATATTTTGTAAATGGTGATAAATTCTGTCCCCATAATATTCTACTATTTGGTTTTGATTATCAATTTATCAGCTGGTGGACTCACTTTTCTGTGACTCACATAAATGACAAACCATGCATGGGAACACGTTTTGGTGTGGTGATATAGATTCCTTTTGTAGATTCCTGACAGCTGAGCATATGGTACTTTGACCTCCCATTTTCTGAGGAGCTTCTCTATTGACATGGGTAGTGGCTCTACAAGGTTACAGTTGCACCCACAATGAATGAGATGTATAGGACGGGAGGGTCTTGTGCTCACAGATAAGCATTAGAGAAAACAGGAAGGTTAAACACACAAGCTTGTCTTCTCAACAGAGGAGACAAGGCCACACCTGACTCTATTCCAGACAGAATCTAGACTTCTATCTTGAGCAGTTTCTAAGTCAATAAATCCCATCTTTAAGGTAGATGTCACTTGTACTTCACAACAGCTTGTGTGGCCTGTATGTTATCTGTAGGGGCAAATGACTCCTGACTTCCACAGACTTTTATTTTTATTTCAGGCATTCTCAGCATCAATCAGTTCCCTGTAGCTTGGGATCTAGGAGTGGGGCTTTGTGAAATTTCCCCTTTCCACTACATTAGCAGATTAACTTGCTTTACCATTATTTAAGTCTTGTTCAAGCAATCACATTGTTGGGATTTTATGGGTGACTTGTCCCTCTTGTGTCAGAAAGGCACTATTTTTGCAACAGGTATTTTACACTCTCGTCTTTTACACTCTTTCTGACACCTTTTCCATGATTTTCCCAGATCCTTAGATGTAGGATCTGATGTGAATCCTTCATTTATATCATTGAGTCATTTATTTGTGTTATATCCTTTCTTTATTTTCAGCAGCACTCAGAACTAGTTAAGTCTCTCGCATATTGAATGTCTTCCAGAGGCTCTTGTGTCATGTTTTTATTTTCATTTAATTCCAGGATTTTAATTTTTCCTCTCTTGAGTTCTTGATTCCTTCATCATTTGGTAGTGTGTTGTTTGATTTTCATGAATTTAGGTAATTTCTATAAATCCTTGGGCAGTTGATTTTAAGCTTTATTGCATTGTGGTCAGATAGTGTGGACTGGGTTATTTCAATTTTTCTGCATTGGTTCAGATTTGATTAGTGTCTCACTATGTTGTCTATTTTAGAGAAACTTCCACTCACACCTTCAAAGAATAAATATTCTTTGGTGTTTCAGTGGAATGTTCAATAAATATCTGTTAGTTCCAAGTGATAAATTGATGTCTTTAATTCTGCTGATTCTGTGTTTATTTTTTGTTCAAATGTCCTATTGGAGAAATTAGGGTGCAGAAATCAACTATAACCGCTGAGTTGGGTTTCATCAGTGTCTTGAAATCAAGTGGTATGCTTTTTATGAAAGTTTGTGCTAGAACTTGGTTCGTAATTGTGTCTTCTCACAATTCTCTTTATCAGAATAAAGTGTCCTTCCTTATCTCTTCTAATTAATTTTTGCTTCAAATCAGTTTGGTCAGATATTATAATAATAATGCCTGCTTGCTTTCTGGTCATTTGCTTTGAGTACTTTTCCAATCCCTTCACTCTGAGGTATCTACCTTTGAAGATAAAATTAGTTTCTTGAAAAAAACAAAATGACTGATTTTCTTTCTTAACCCATTCAACTATCCGATGTCTTTTGATTGAAGAGCTGAGGCCATTAATACTTAAAGTTATCATTGAAAGGTGAGTGTTGATTGCTGTCATTCTACTTTTGGCACTATTTGTTTTTAATCTTATTTTATGTTTCAGGAATTATAGTTTCATTTGTTTTTTTTTCTGTAGCCTGATAGCTTTGCTTTTTCCTCTCTTCAGTATGAAACATTGTTTTTAGTATTCTCTGTAGATCTGGTTTGTTGGACATGAATTTTAGCATGTTTACAATTTTGTCAATTTTACGAACTTCTTAAGCCTTGTGACTTTTTAATGTCCTGAGTTTTATATGCCTCCTATATGTCCTGAGTCTAAGTAAGCGTCTTTCCAGATGGAATATTTAAATTCAGATGAAATTTCTATACAGTGCCCTAAGAATTATTAATTTTTGGTCAGATGATCAACTAATGAGTGTGTAGTAGTAAGGTCACCCATTATTATTATACTTGGATATATCTATCCTTTGCTTAGTAGTGTTTCTTTTATGAAATGTGATGCACTGACATGCTTATTCAGTATTCATTTTTTTTATTTTGGTTTATTCCTTTCACTAATAGGTAGTGGCAATTTTATTTCTTGTAACTACATTTGGACTGGTCTATTTTATCATATATGAGTATTGATGTTTCTGTTTCTTCTTAGCTTGGATTTCCTTGATCCATCCCTTCCTAGCCTTTCATTTGTGATGTGTGTGTGTGTGTGTGTGTATGTGTGTTTGTGTGTGTGTGTATGTATGTATGTGTGTGTGTGCTCACACGTGTTCTTTTTAGTCTAATTAGCTAGCCTTTGTCTTTTTCTCTTTTTTTGAGCATGAGGTATGTATTATTTTCATCAATCACACAAATAATTTTCTATAAGATCAAAGGGAAAACCGAGTGCCAGGCGGGTTCACAGTGCATCATTTGTCTTCTATCCATCCATCTTGCAGGTGATCCTTTTTCCACATCATGAGGGGTGTCTCAGAGATGACAGTGTAGAGTGGGAAAATCCTCTATGGCTGCTAGGAAATTTCACTTCTTTTTTTCCTATTCAATGGTCTTTTTGACTGGCAGGGTATTCTTCTCATTCATCTCACTTTTTTTCAGATTGGCATTATTGAAGGTGGTGATTTTCCCCACAGCTGGCTTGCCTGCCATTTTCTTCAAACTCAAGTCTTGTTCTGAGCTGGTGCTCCAGGTGCTCCCACATGCAATGCTGCAGCAAGAGACCTAACCTGTGTCTCTTAATTAAATAAAGTCATTTATATTTAGTGTTTTTGTTGATAATTATATGTTTATTCCTATGACTTTATTAGATGTTCTGGTTGGTTCACATACTATTTATCTTTTATTAACCATCACATCTGTTGCTGATTTTCTCAGTCTTGTTCTGAATTGGTAGCATTCATATCATCATCCGCTTGTTTAAATTCTCTTTGAGGTCACTAGTCATTTCCAAATCTAGACTACTGGATTATTTGTCCAACACTATGACAATTTGTGTATCCTAGGATTCAGTTAGTGAACAGCTGTATACTTTTGTATATGTCATACTTCCCTGCTTGGTCATGTTTCCTCTGTTTCTTTTTCTTTAAGTAATTTATTTACTTTATATCCTGTCCATAGTTTCCCCTCTCTCTTCTCCTCCCAGTCCCTCCTCACCTCTCTCACCCCACCCATGTTTCTCTCATTTCTTCCTCTCTGAAAAGGGAAGGCTTCCCAAGAATATCAACCAGATTTGGCACAAAAAGTTGATGTAAGTCTAGGCACATCTCCTATGGAGGCAGGAGAGATGAGACAGCCCAGAAAGGGGAAAGGGATCCAGACAAACTGACATAACAGCAGAAATCAGAAGTTGTTAGGGCAATAAAATTTAAATGAAATAACATATACTACTATGCCAACTATAATTGTAATAATGAAAACAGGGAGGGGAAGTAAGCTGTGAAGCCAATATTTAATTAAGAACAAAATAATGATTCTGGTGACTCTTATATTTTAGAGATCAGAATAATGCCAATTCTGATGAAGACTTTTCTCAGTCACAGAACCACACAGTGGCAGCTTCTGAACACCATTTCACTCTGGAAATGGATTTCACTTTACTTACTACCACTAAGTATCAAGTCAACTGTTTCCTGCCTGGTGGTAAAATGTAGTGTTGAGCTACATCCATGTTTGTGGTTGCTATTTTAATAATGGAAAGTAATTATTAAATACTAATGGCATGCAAGTTAAGTGCTCCTTACATTATAATTGAGAGTTTTCTTAATAATCTTTAATAGATATCATTTAATACTTAATAAATAATCACTATCTTTGTAGATGACTAAGCCAAGGCAGCATTGTGACTGGTCACCATCATGGCACACAATAGCACAGTCTTTGAGCTGAGTCCCATGCTTATAACCAGAACACCATGCACTGAGCACTCATTTTTCTGAAAGAAGTCCTCATGTGTGGGTTTGAGTAGACCATAAATCTGAGCAGTGTGCCATGTTACCTTGCTTATCTCACTTATCAGCTAGACAACAATGGCTGCAGCACACAAGAAGCGAACATCACTGAGCTCCAGTTAAACAGAAGCTATTACAGAGTCCATCTCCTTCGTGTGAATGTAACTGTTACAGAAGAAGGGACAGGTATGTGAGTGACCTAAGAATATAGAAGTTGAAGCTGTTAAAACTGACACCTTCTCCCATTGAGATGGTGGCTCAAAGGATGCAGAAAGCAAGCAACTCTCTAACCAGCTTGGGCTTTTAATGTTGTCACTAATTTATTTTTCAGGATTGGAGTACAGTGGATCTAGAACAACTGAAATAGAAAGAACCACAAGCAAGCTCATATTTCTGAAAGCAGATTCACACTTCAGACATGGGATTCCATTCTATGTGAAAGTAAGGTGCTTTTAGGTTCATAGATGGTTAAGCTGTAAGGTGTTTCCTCAACCCAGGCTATTCTGCTGGATGTTAAGGGTGTCTGACATCACTGGTTGCAACACAAGAAGTGCAGCTTAGTGGTGGAGTTTGTACAAAACATGCAATTCCCAGAACTAAACTGAAGACTTAGAAAGGTTATCAAGAGGCTTGAAATCTAAAACATATTCAGCACAGTTTTTATTGATAATTACTGTGCTTTAAACTCCAAAGTATCACTGTGTTTCAATGGTGAAGCAACATGTGCTACAAATTCATAACAATCCATGCTCTCCATTAGCCTCTGCACCCTCACAAGTTGTTCTTGTGATTGTGTCAGAGCATCTACTTCCTGTAATTTACCCAATGGATTTATTGATGGTTTCTTATGAATAATAGGAAAGTAGAAAGCATCTATAAAGTATCTGTTATGAAGCTAAGAATATGATATGGGGAGAGCGATAATACCAACCAACCAGAGCACCCAAGGTCTAGATAACCAGCCTTGGAACACCCATGGCTCCAGCCATACATGTAGCAGAGGATGGCCTTGTCAGGCTTTGGTGGGAGAGGAGGCCCTTGTACTCATGAAGGCTGGATGTCCCAGTGTAGGGGAATGCGAGGGAGGGGAGGCAAGAGTGGGTGTGTGGGGGTACAACCTCATAGAAGCAGGAGGGTAATGGATGGGATGGGGGTTTAAGGGGGTGATAGGGAAAGGAGATAACATCTGAAATGTAAATAAAATTTCCAATTGAAAAGAAGAATAAAATACCTCAGTCTCTATACTTTCACAGCACAGCTAGTTCTGCTGGTATACATTTTTGAAAACCAGTTTTTGCATGCTGAATTAGTTGGTTCAGCTTTGAAATCTTTATATAATACTGAAACAGGGCTTTTCTCGTATGTTCTGTATTGTATTTCCATGCCTAGACTATACTTTTCTTGTTCAATTTAGGTCCTCCTAGTGGATATCAAAGGAGTTCCTATCCCAAATGAGCAAATCTTCATCAAAGCACAAGAAATTAACTACACAGATGCTACTACCACTGATCAGCATGGCCTGGCAAAGTTCTCCATAGACACCAGCAGCATCTCAGACTATTCCCTCAGTATCAGAGTAAGTCAGAAATGAGGAGGGCATAAGACACAAGATGAGGCCTTGCAATAGTGTGAGCTCAATAATGGCTAGCTTAATGAAAAGAAAATTCCATTGCAAACTCTCTTATTTGAGGGGAAACCACGAAAAGTTTCTGATCATTAATAAGAATATGATCACACATTATAAACACATTTTTAACACAATAGTTTTTTCCATAGTCTCTTTTATTTTATTTATGTTTTAAATATCTCAAGTTAGGACCTTCAAGAAAAAAGTGACAAAAAGTCCATTTTTGTCTATTTAGTCAAGTATAGGTGTTGTGTATCCTCAAATTCATTACCTTTGTGTGATACCAACATCTTCATGCTTTGTCTCTTAACTGGGTTGCGGGTGTCTTAAAGGTTATAGTGATAATTTTTAAATTTTTCTTTACTACTCATTAAGTATTATAATAATATATGTATATTATTTAAAAACAATGAAAAACAGCCACTGTACTTTCAGTTCTAATGACTAGAAAATGGAAAATACAATGTAAGTTAAACAGTTAAGTGTAAAAATAGGAATAAACTTTATTACTAATATAGCAGAAAAGGAAGTCTGAGAAAAAGACAAATTAATTTGTACAGTCTACCAGGAATGAAATTCTCCACTAAATAATCAGATAACTGTCAAATAAATAATATACCTTTTGCATACCTCTTATTGTTAACACAACTAGAACAGAAGAAATAGAAAACTGATGAAGGGAAGGAAATAATAAATATGGATGAGAGTTATAATGGGGACCAAAGAGGACAGTGAAAAGGTCCAGATTAGCCCTCATCAAAACCCAAAGAGAGTTAAAACCCAAGTTAACAAATTAGAGGTAACTATTACAGCGCATACTATGAAATCAATGGGGTTCCTAGAGAATAATCTGTAAACTTTCATTCCAATAAGTTAAAAAAAATCCAGAAGAAACAAATGAATTTCTGGATATTCATATTCTATTAAAAGTGAGCCAGAAGGATATAAAAAACCCAAACAGATCAGCAATGGGAAATATGATTGAAGTAATGATCCTACTGAATAATTGAAGAAAGAAAGGGACCCAGCACAATAAGATCTGAGACTGAGAAGAACTCATTGCTGAATAGAAACAAAGTTTAAAAAAGAAATATTGTTGTATAAAGATTCAAAAGAAGAAATGCCTCCAAAGTAGTTCTATGAGTCTAGAATAACCCTGAGACCAAAACTAGATGAGGATAGAGTGACAAGAAATCTTCAGAGTAATTTACGTAATGGGCATTAAAAGAGAGTCTGCATTGAAAGTCAAATTCAACCACACATTAACCGAATCATGTACCATGATCAAACTGATTTCATAATAAGATGACTTGGATGGTTTCACATTTGTAAACTGAAAACTGTAATCAGCATATAAATAGAATCAAGGGTTACAATCACATGGTCATTTCAGTAGTTCTAAACAGTCTATTTTTAAGACATCAATGAGAAATGGTCAAGAAACACATACAAAGATGTTAGGCATATTTGGCTCTCAATAGAATACAGGCTAACACTATGCTGAAAGTTCATCTCACCCATCAAAATGGCTATCATCAGGAAAGCAAATGTTGGTAAGGTTATGGGAACAAAGGAACCTATAGGCACAGGTAGTGCAAAGATAAATTAGTATGACCACTAAGATCAGACCTACTAAAATCCAAAGGGAAATCAGTATACATTACAGGTATCCCATGCCCACATACATGCCCATATAAATCAAAGATAATATACATTAGAGACATCTACATCCCATGGCAATCTCAGCAGATCTCAGCACAGTTGGCCTATGGAGCCAACTTTAATGCCTATTGGTGGATGCGTGTTTACAGAGAATCTCTTGGGCAATGTATGGAAACATCACTTGTCAACGAAATGCTGTTAGACTATTAGCTTAGGCAGGAAACAAGTAGGTGGAAGGTCTGGTACAGAGAGAATGTCTAGGGTAGAGTCAGGTGTATGAAATTTGCCCCAAACTGAAGAGAAAAAACCACAGAAAAGAATAAACAGGATAACTGAATTACGAGCTAACAGAAGAAGCCACAGATTTTAGACTAGATAATTATTCATAATAATTCAGCCTCAGAGTCATTATTTTGTGAACTTGGGCACAGGTGGAAAAGCCCACCATTACATGAATGGATAGTGACAATTGAAAATATGTGCACTTTGGACTTTTACTCAGATATTTATGAGAAAGTTGTCTTGTCTATAGAGAAATGAATGAATTTAGAATTTGTCAATTTAAGAAAAAAGTATAAAACTAGGAGAAATTATCCCCAATATGTCCCCATATGTCACCCATACGTGGAATCTAGGGAAAGGACAGGAATGAAGGCAGAGCGGGTCTATTAAGGAGGAAGGGAACCGGAGGAAAACATACGATTGGTTACTAGGATGGATGAGTACTCTCAGAGTACATTACATTAATATATGAAAATGTTTCTGTCAACCCATTATTTTTCACAGTCACAATGAACTAAAATTCTTAAATGTGAAAACTTTCATTATATATTAGATGCACAATAAATGCTTTCTTTGTCTCATAAAAATAGTAAACTTCCCTTTTCTCTCTTCCCTGGTATAAATATTTGCCTCCATTATGAAAATTGAGGGTATTAGACAATGATCCATTTAATAAAATTACCCTCCATTTTTAATAAGATGTATAAAATATTTAATCATTAAATGAGATGGAAAAATACGCTGATTGATCACAGAAGAAAGATTCTGCCTGCTAGGCAAGCTACAGTACAGTACTTTGTTGTATCTCCAGGTCTACCACAAGGAGGAAAATTCATGTTCCCATTCCTTTTGCATGGAAGAAAGACATGCAGAGGCACACCACGTGGCCTATGCTGTTCACTCCCTCAGCAAGAGCTACATCTATCTTGAGACAGAGTCCAGCAGCATCTTGCCCTGCAACCAGATTCACACAGTTCAGGCACAGTTTATTCTGAAGGGGAAGGACTTGGGAGTGCTGAAAGTGCTCCTTTTCTACTACCTGGTAAGTTCTGGCTCCACATTGGAAAAAAAAAGACCTCCTCTTCTGACCATGTCTCTCCTGACACATTGGGTTCTAGGCTGGGGATTTCTGCCTGGAATACAAGAGATTCTTCTATGTCTTCTAGCACACTTAGAAGAAAGCCTTGTAAAACATAGACGTATGCTTGGAAAATTCTTTCCATTTTAGGTCATGGCCCAGGGCAGCATCATCCAGACTGGAAACCACACTCATCATGTGGAGCCAGGAGAATGTAAGTGTCTCCCACACAGTAACATTTCTCCAACTGAGAGTCCACATACTCACCTAGGGAATCTTACTACTGAGCAACAAACAGTGCCATCATGCTTGTGTGTCTCCATAGACACTCTCCACAGTAGAAACTCATGGCTCTGCTGTCCAATGTATGCTCTCACTCATGACCTTCAGGAAAAAGTCTCAGAGTCCCAAACTGAGTATCATTCAAAACGGTGAAAATCTATTGTGAATATGTACCCCCTGAATATACACAGTACTCCAAGATATGATCTACATGAGAAACCTATACATTCACATACACATTATCCCAAAGACAAATGAGTTATCTTAGTGTCTGTACAAAAACAATCTGGGTGCCAGCATTAGCTACACTGATTTTAATGTATTTTATTTATTTTTATTATTTTTAAATTGTGTGTGAGGTGGATGTAGATAACCACATGCCAGAGGCATCAGATCTCCTGGATATCCTGGATCCAGAATTACAGAGTTTTGAGCATCCTGGTATGGGTGCTGGGAATCAAACCTGGGTTTTCTAGAAGTCCATCAAGTGATCTTAACTTCTGACCTATCTCTTCTTTTCTTTATTTTTACTTTCAAAGACAGTTTATTTATTCTTTGAAAGTTGCATATATTGGTACAATGTATTTTAGTCATAACCTCTCCCCACTGATTCCCTCCCCCCACCCGATTCCTCCATGCCTACCAAACCAGGCTCCTTCCCTATTATATGCTTATTTTTTTTAAACATATTGAGTTCAGTTAGTGTTACCCACACATGATGAGGTATTGGGCCAACCCATGAAACATGGACAATCTACTAGGGACTTCATCAATGAAAAAATCTGGTTCTTCCTCCCCTCAGCAGCCATCAACTGTCAATAGCTCCTCAGCTAAAATGGGTCTTTACAAACCCCTTCCCTTTCCTACTGGAATGCTGAATGACTTGTTGTTGGTAAGGTCATGGGCATGGAACCATAGCTGCTGTGACTCTGTGAGTGATGTTACCCTATCATCTCCTGGTGATATTTACTCAGTCCTACTAAAATGTGATGCACTTGTCACTCCCTTAATGGGGCCTCTTGCACCCGCTCCTATTAAGATCCCAAGTTACCACTGAATCCTGGTAATCTCGATGCTCTGATCTTGCCATCCTTTCCTTCCAAAGAGCACTTACCACATGCAAACACGGGTTCTATACTTAACCTTTTAATATTCATTTCTGTTGACGGACAAATCAACTACATGGAGCACAATTGAAATCGTATACTATTTACAGGAGTCTCACTCAATTTAGTTCAGGAAAACTCTTCTTTATATTGAATTAAAAACAGGATTTATTAGGAATAATTATGCTATTAGCTATTACTCTAATAGCTTAAAAATAATTATTGACACTGGCTAATAGCAAGTTTTAGATGTAAACCTGCTTACTCCATACAGTCAGAGATATCTTTCCCGTAATTTCTAGAAGTGGTAGATAGTCAGTGAACGCTCAACAAATTAACTGAAAATTGGTTTCCCTGTTATTGACCAATTATAAAAACTATTTAGCTATTTAATAAAATATGCAGTTAGTTCTTCAACAAACACTAAGTAGGAATCATGGCACTCATCTTGAGAAACAATAAGAGAAACTTCAAAAGTACATAAATTTCTCTCAAGAGATATAAATATTGTGAACAATGCATTGAGAAAAAGTTTAATACCAAAGATACACTTATTATTACCAAATGTGGCTTGGTCCTCTGAGATAATTATTAATTTTCAGCTTCCCAAGTACCAGGCTTTCCTTTCTGTTAGTCTTCCTTTTACCTGAATAATAAGTGAGACATCAGCCAAGGTTGTCTCTTCCCTTTTTATAACAGGAATATCTAACATGCTGTTTGGGACGCTAAGGTATAAAAGAGATAAGAGGTTAGCATATGTCTAGCTATAAATAACCAAGATAACTTTTGACAGAGTACATCTTGGTGGAAAACATCTTTGTGATATCCTCCTGAGATCATTAGCATGCAAACAACCAACTGCAGGACAGGAAGACTGTCTTACACATACAGACAGTCCTTCAAATCCCTGTGTTCAGTTATTTGGGTTTTCTTGTCAGTAGTCTGACCCATAACCATCTCTTCCCATTCCCTCCAGCTGAAGTAAAAGGCAGCTTTGCCTTGGAGATCCCTGTGGAGTTCAGCATGGTCCCCATGGCTAAAATGCTCATCTACACCATCCTGCCTGATGGAGAAGTGATTGCAGATTCTGCAACCTTTAAAGTTGAAAAGTGTCTTCGCAACAAAGTGAGGGATTTGTTACCTAAAATTTCTATTTAAAAGGTGGGGGGAGTCTTAAAGACACAGATTTCGGATGAAAATGCTAAACCCAGTCACTGGTGTGTGCCTCAGTGGCAAAGATGTGGACAGTACCAGAGTGCCAGATTTCAATTCCCAAATCACACACATGGTTTGAGGTTTAAGAGAGAAGAAGCAAGGAAGTGGAGAGCAAGAGAGGAGAACCGAATCCTTAATAACTAATTTAAAGTTGTATAACTTACATTTTTATTGTATCTATCTGCAGGTGCACATGTGCATCTGAATGTGCACACGTGGAGGAAAGAGAACAAGTTTTAGAAGTCTGTGTTCTCCTTCCTCATGAGTCTGAAAGGTCAAGCTCAGCTCAACAAGCTTGTCAGCAGATACCTTTACCCACTGAGCTATCTCAAAGACCCTTAATGTTACAGAGTCCCACATGAGACCAATCATAGGATCCAAGCCTATCAGTTGTTAGTATATTTATTTTCCCTCAAGTTTTTCGTTATGATTTTTCTATATGTGTGATAAGCACATAATACCCTTAAATTTTCTGACACCGCATTTTGAATGTGTGCTGCATCATAGATCTTCAGTTCCTGTGAACATTAGGCATTTGAAACTATGTCTGTTGGTTAGTATCTATGCTTTTCTTACTTTAGAGTAGTTACCCACACCTCTGATCCGCTTTAATCAGCCTCTTTCAATACAACCCAGTGTATGGCAGTTTGCTTCAGTGGCAGGATTGAAATAGATAGAAAGCATTATGAGATGAAGGTGAATGGCAGATGATCTGGTAGCCAGAGAGGCAGATGTAGATGTATTTCCAATTAGAATACTGTTTTTTCCACCCCAGGTATAAGATTCATCATGAAAAAGTTCTTTAAAATGGGTAACTTTGTTGGCTGCTTATAGTGTGAGTCCCAGCACTTGGGAGGCAGGCAGATCTCTGAGTTCAAGGCCACCTTGGTCTACAGAGTGAGTTTCAAGACAGCCAGGGCTACACAAGAAACATTGTCTCAAAAAACTTCACCAGAGAGAGGGGGAGTCGTGAAGGTGGTAGGGAGGGAGGGACAAAGTTAGAGACAGACAGAGAGACAGAGAAAGATGAAGGGAGGGAGAGAGGAAGGGAGGGAGGAAGGGAGAGAGGGAGGGAGGGACAGAGGGAGGGACAGAGGGAAGAAAGGAAAGAGGGAAGGAGAGAGGGAGGGAAGGAGAAATACAGAGAGAAAGAAACAGAGACAGAAATGGAGAGAGTGGGAGAGAGGGGAGTTGGGGAGATAGGCGGAGAGGGAAAAGAAGTGAAGATGGGAAGAGAGGGAGGGAGTGTTACTTCAGGGCTGCAGAGATAGCTCAGTAGGTAATAGCACTTGCTGCACTGAATTCTGATTCTAGCATGCTTATAAAAGCCATCACAACCAAAGCGCCCTATAAACCCAATTTTGTGGGGGCTAGAGGCAGGAGAATTGCTGTGACTTGCCTGCTGCCAGTTTAGTTCCAGGATTATGAGGGATATTCTCAAGAGAATAAGGTAGAGAGTAGAAGCAAGGCACCCACATCCTCCTCTGGCCTCTGCTGGGTGCATGGGTACATACACCTGAGCACACATGTGCATAACAACACAGCCACATACATGTTCACACACACCAAAAATGAACTGTTTTTAAACATTTCAGGGAGCTGAAATTGTCTTTTATTGCTTCAGAGTTTGATTGACACACTTATTGTCTTCTTAAGTCAATCCCAGGGGAGAAAGGAAAGCAAGGAACCTCAGTTGTGCTTCTGACAGTATTCATAATGTGGAAACAGAGATACGTGGGCAGAGTTCCAGGATGACTCAGCCCTGCAGGTTTCAGGGCTGGAGAAGCAGGAAACCCCCCGCTAAGCTTGATTTTCCTTCTCCCAGGTGTACCTGAGCTTCAGCTCATCTCAGAGTCTTCCTGGCTCACAAACCCATCTGAGGGTCACAGCTTCTCCTCAGTCCCTCTGTGGCCTGAGAGCTGTGGACCAAAGCGTGCTGCTCCTGAAACCCGAGGCTGAGCTCTCCCCTTCCTTGGTGAGTCCCTTCAGCCTCTGTCCAAAACAGGTCAGAAGAGACCGGAAGTGACCCCGGTTCTGATGAAACAGTGATTGTTCACCCACTAGGGCTCTTGAGTGTACAAATACTGCATTTAATGCTGGCAGCGTCTCTAAGGGAGCATTTCATTATAATATCCTGAAGAACGGATCAGAAAACTGTGAGTTGCAAAGCCTCTGTGCTCTTACTTCAGCTGTCCTGCCCCAGGAGTGTCTTGTCCCCTTAAGATGCTCATAGTGGAGCTTTTCAGAGTCACACTGCATGTGGGAGTCAAAGGAAACCATTTATACAAATAGAATTTTGCACATCTCAAGAGATCCCCAAATAAGAAAAAAGTATAGAATGATTTAAAATTTTATATTTTAAAATGCAAGGTTCTCAATTGTTTTGAAAATTCTCAAAATCACAAATGAAACCATATACTATTTACAAGGGTTTTGCAAAAGAAAATGATAGTAAAACTCTTCTTTTTATTGAATTAAAAATGGGGCTTATTTGGAATAATTATATGATCACTCAAATAGTGTAAAAATTATTATTGACACTGGCTAATAGAATGTTTTAGAATGTACAATAGATTTGTAAATTTAAAAACAGAAATCCTTAGTCCATATAATGCTGGGAATTTACCAGTCTTTAAATAACATGTAAATTAAACCAATATTTAATTTAACTTTAATGATGAGATGTTATCATGCACATGCAGAAAATTCCTTGGAAAGTATCCTGCTAAAATGTTTTTTATTTTGTATTTTACTTTCCCCATATCTATCAAACAAGAGATTACTTATTTTAGCTGATAAATACACGGAATTCATTTAAAAACACAAAAGTTATTTAAAATGGAGGGTGGAGTTCCCTTGCTCCCCCCACCATGTCCTCTTCATGCCCTGGATGCCTGTACTTTTGATGAGGACAGCTATTCTTGAACATTCAAGAATATTTGTAGTGATCACAGTCATTATTATTTTTTTGTCCGAGTGTGAGTATCTTGAAGAATCCAACCAGTTAGTCAACTCAGGAACCACAATGTCAGCCAATGCTAATCCTCACATGCCCTCCTCATCTCCTGTCTCTTACAGATATACGATCTGCCTGGTATGCAGCACAAGAAATTCATCCCAAGTTCCGACCCGTCTGAAGAAGATGATTGTGTGTGGTACGGAACCTGGGAAACTAATGAGCAACCAAACTCATTCCGACAAAGAGAAGAGATGGATGTCTACAGATATGTGGAGGTAAGCCCTATTATCTATCGGCATCCTGGTCTGTGAATTATTTAGGTTTAATGAGATGCTACATTAGTAAAGAATTTCAGGCTTAGACCAAGGATATGAGTCACTGGCAGACCACCCACCTTACATGTAAATCTACATCTTGGAAAGTGGCCAGTCTAGACTATTTGTCTCCCTCTATTGCGGAAACTGACACAGAGTGGGAGACAACTGCTTAGTAGCAGTAGTAGTAGTAGTAGTTGTCATATTAATGATTTTTCAGACAGGCTCTCATTATGCAGCTCTGATTGTCCTGGCTCTCACTCTGTAGACCAGGCTGGCCTCAAACTCACAGAGATTTGTCTGCCTCTGCCTCTTAAGTGCTGGGATTAAAGGTGTGTGTGCCACCATGCATGGCTATGAGTGACTTCAAAAAATAACAGCCTTGCATCAGAAAGAAGGCCTGTACATATGCCTCATTATGAATTCTGTGTTCCTCACTATACTCCCTCATGAGTATGAGACACACATTTTGAATAGCAATTCTACTTGAACATGTAACACTATATGTAAAATGTTTACTGCAAATTTTAAACATACTTTTTTCAGAACTTTGATGTATCTCACTTGATTAATACTTTTCTTTCCAGGACATGGGTTTAACGGCACTCACAAACTTGAAGATCAAATATCCTACATTTTGTTATGAGGTTTACATGGTTCAAATGTCAGGTAAAATAACAAATCAGTATTTTCAGAACAAAATAAATGTGAATTATTTATCAAAGCTGGTAAAATAAAATTGTACTGCATGTATAGCATCCAAGTAAGAGGAAAAATCCCAAGCTTACTGGAGAAAAATGTGCCCAGATGTATGCTGGTACGACAAAGAAGTTAAAGTCTGGTGGTCCTCCCTTCAATGTTAAAATAAGACAAAATGCAACAGTTATTGTGATATAGGATCATTGTATGAAGTGGGAAGAGCTTCTGTAGATGTGTCATGAGAGGTGAAGAGAGTTCCCTAAGCATTATACAGGAAAGAGACAGAAAAATCAGGCATTACAAATTAAGTTGAGGATAGGAAGAAAAAATTCACTTATGTCAAAGGGTGCATGCAGACTCATATATTAACCAAGGAACAATTTAATCTTTCCCTCTCCCTCTCATCTGAGTCCCTTTCAGAGTGACTGCACCATTTGCATCCCCACCAACATTGAATGAGGGTTCCCTTTCCCTGTATCTTTTCCAGCACTTGTTGTCAGTTATTTTGGTGACTTTAGCTGCCCTGACTGGAATGAGATGGAAACTGAGTTGTTTTAATTTATATTTCCCTAATTGCCTGCATAACAAACCCTGTTAGAAGATATGTCTTAACCTTTGAAAATTTCTTTTGAACCCACTGTTCAGATCCACAGCCCATTTTTTAAGTTGTGCTGTTTGTTTTTTTGACTCTTTGGTTTTTGAGTTCTTTATATAGTTGGGGTATCTATCCTTTATCATATTTATAGTGAGCAAAGATTTTCTCCCACTTTCTGGGCTTCCATTTCACTCAATTGAACGTTCCCTAGTTGTGCAAAAAGCATTTCAGTTTTGTGAGGTCCCATTTGTCAAGCATTTATCTTGATTTCTAAGTGAGTGAGTCTCATTCACAGTCCTTTTTTTACACATGTATTTTGTAGGGTTGTTGCCTATTGTTCTTCCCCTAGCAGTTTCCTGTTTCATGTTGAGGTCCTTGATGCATTTGAAGCTGATTTTTGTTCAGGGTCATAGATATAGGTCTAATTTCATTCTTCTATGTATGAGCATCCAGTTATTCCAGCATTATTTATTGAAGATGCTGTCTTTCCTCTGGTGTATGTCTTGGCATCTATGTCCACTATCAAATGCCTGTGATTACATGAGTGTGATTGGTTCTTATGTTTTTTTCCATTGATCTACATGTCTATTTTTGTGCTTTTACCATGATACTTTTATTACTATACCTCTGTAATATAACTTGAAAGCAGGAAACACTATCTTTATTATTATTTATATTCTAAATACTAAAAGTTATTTTTATATCTGTGTTAACATAAATTAAAACATTATTCTGACTGGACTATTTTAATTTCCCTCATACTGATTTGAATGGAAATTGAAAAATGTTCACAACTTTCTAAAAGCAACATGGCCTGAGGCACTGTGACTACTCTAGACAATGGAATAATTGAGCAACTATCCCTGTTAATGTAATGGGTGATGAACTTAAAACACTAGAAAACACTTAGTTCTTGAAGGCAAATAGAAACACTGAGGTCAGGTTACAGGTTGTGGCTGTCACAGAGAAGGACCTACAGAAATGAAGCTCTGTGTGTGGGTATATGAACTAAGAAATTGGGAGAGATTTTCTATGCTTAGAAGTCAGTTGGGAAATAATTAATTGAAGCCCTAACTAAAACTACATGTGTACTTCTTCTTGAAAAAAAAAGCAGAGTACAAACACTCCATTGCCAGCTTTAAATCCTACGTTTCTTGCCAATACAAACCCAAGCCAATGCTATGGTTATTGGGTAATAAACTTCCTATTTCTAACCCAAGAGTTTGTACTCATATCTCTTTCAGTTTTAATACAAATTGAAAACCTGTAAAAATACTAGGTTAAACCTACAGAGCTTAAGAAAAAAAATTGCAAGAATACTGCTGCTGATAATGTAGACATCCTTCAGCCCTTGGCTGGACTGATTCTCATTGTAGCCACAAGATCTATTATTTAAAATCATATTGTGGATCTTCATTCCTCCTGGGGGGCACATTATATATGTAAACATTCACTAACTATCCAATATCCAACCCATGAAAGTACGCATTATGGTTCCTTCCAACTTCAACTACTCTAGGGGGAGATTTCACCTTTGATAAAAAATGTCACCCTGTCTGCTCCAAAATGAGTGATTCAACCCATTATTTCCAGTTTAACCATAATGGTGTTTAACAGTTAAGAAGAAACTAAAAATTAAGCTATGTTTACATTGCACCATTATGTTCCATTGTATTCAAGTACATTTCCATTTCTTCCATTGTAAATTCATAGTACCTGAGGAGGATTATGATCAAACTCTCAGCTTGGCAGCAAATAAAGATCTACCACCTGAAAAGCCACCACGTAAAGATCCATCACCTAAAGATCCATTTACTGAGAGCATTCGAAAATATTTTCCTGAAACATGGGTCTGGGATATAGTCACAGTAAAGTAAGTGATTTTCTTTTGTATAACTTGGGCTGGGTATAAAATTTTTCTTATTTTCTTGTGTTTCTCTAATATTTATCATAAGCAAAGGAAATTGGTCATTTAGAAGACCATAGCATTTCAACCCATCAACTATAAAATACATGTATTTTCAATGCTCCTATAATATGCCCATAAAAACTACTATGTACCTTCCTGATAGTTAAAACTACTGAGTAGTAGGTGAGGCAGTCTTACATGAAGTAGACTATGGGTCTTGTATGTGGAATAGATAATATAAGTCATAAAACTGTTTTGTGATATTTTGAAGATTGAAATTCAGAGAAAAACCTTACATCTATGTTCAGATTTCAACTAACCTATGAACTTTGAGATGCTGTAGGACTATGACTTGAGTTGGTAAAACAATATTAGAAAAAGACCTTTCAGTGTGTAAGCAGGGCTGCCCCTGACATCTCCTCCCTTCTCTAAGTATAGGCCTAAAATCAGCAATAGGCCTGTCATACATGTATACTAACACAAAGTCTTGGGTCTCAGTGGAAAAACATTGAAACAGATGGCTATAAGCTAATGTAAACTGGCAGCTTTTGTGGAAATTTACAAGCTTGAGTAGTCATAGACCTTGTAAATAGGTAGCCTTGGCAGACAATACCAACTTAGATAAGGACAAGCGAGTCATAGGCAGAGTCATAGTGATTTGTCTCCTGAACCTCCACCCAGCCGATACCCGGTTCTGAAGATATCTGTATTCCCCCTGAACACCCACACTCCATTCTCATTCCCTTCCCTACATCCTGCCTTTCTGTGTTTATAACCCCTGTGTGAATGAATTACGATTTGAGAAAAAATGAATTATAAAAAAAAGAAAGAAATTTTCAAAGTAAAAAAAAAAAAAAGAAAAGAAAAAGACCTTTCATTTTGCCATCTGGAGTCACGTTTGTTCTGTTCCCTTCCTATCATTCCACTGAAGGACTCAAAGAAATGGTATATTGTCACACTCAGAGTTACCATCTCAGAGTTAACAAATTCATGTGCTCACTTTCTGTGCTTTACATTCACTCTCCCAGCTCCTCAGGCGTGGCTGAAGTGGAAATGACAGTCCCTGACACCATCACTGAATGGAAGGCTGGAGCCTTCTGCCTGTCCAATGATACTGGCCTTGGCCTCTCATCAGTGGCACCTCTCCAAGCCTTCCAGCCCTTCTTTGTGGAGCTGACAATGCCCTACTCTGTGATCCGTGGAGAAACCTTCATGCTCAAAGCCACTGTGATGAACTACCTCCCTGCAAGCATGCGGGTGAACACCTTTCTGAATTAATCATGACCAGAGGGGAAGAGGGCAATTAGTGTGTGTAAATTATAACTAAGACTTAAAGGAAAAGAAGAAAGAAAGTGGAGAAGAGATTGTATTGGAAAGGTCAGCAAAGTGGTTCCAAATGCTTGAACAATTCCCAGACTCTAGCTACATATATAGAGCAAAGAGTTGTTTAACAATATAGACACTACATAAAATTAGGTGATGTTGCCAGTATTTAAACAGACAAACTGTACTGACAGAAATAGGATATTCCATGTAGCCTCTGTATACAATCAAAGCACATGGTCCACATAGATATAGGGGGTTGTTGTCAGGATAAAATGGCCTATTGTTTTACAATGGATTTTGCTTTTGTTAGAGGTAGGTGTATACTTCAAAATAGTAGTTAGAAATCTAGTATGATAAATGTACTTCTGTCATCAAAATAAAACAATAAAAGTAGAAAAATATGTAATTATCTCCTTGATGGCTTGTGTAGATAATATATAGATGAGAGTTAAATATAGTTCTGGACAGGTATGTGTTGAAGAAATCTATGCAAGCCTTCTATGTCAACTTACATGATATTTTAGGCATGTTTTCCAACCATATCCTGACCTCTTTTCTTTCTAACACAATTCACCTTTAGACTCTTTTGCCTACCTACTCCCAAGCATAACACCTTGTCCTTTCACAGTGACACCTATCTATTTGTTTATTTATTTACTCTTTCTTTTTCCCTGTGGGGTCACAGATGGGTGTGCAGCTGGAAGCCTCTCCTGATTTCACAGCTGTCCCAGTAGGAAAAGACCAAGATTCTTACTGCCTTAGTGCCAATGGGAGGCACACCTCATCCTGGCTGGTAACTCCCAAAACTTTAGGTGAGTGAAAATTTTGTAAGGGGGCTCTACCCAGAAAAGATGAGTGTAGGAAGTTTCTTCAGTTACTTTCTTCTCATTGGGTCCCCAAGCGGAAGCTCACAGTTATGGCTGCTGCTGGCGTGTGCTAACCACCTTCTTAACTATAAGACACGCTCTTGAACCACCCCTAGAACAGAGGATACCCTGCAGATCTTGGGGCTTGGTGGATGCCAGGTTCCAGGCAGATCTGAGCTCAGCTCTCTGGACCATTTGTTTCAGGGAATGTGAATTTCTCGGTGTCTGTGGAAGCACAACATTCCCCAGAACCCTGTGGTTCTGAGGCAGCCACAGTTCCTGAAACTGGGAGAAAGGACACAGTAGTCAAAGTCCTGATAGTTGAGGTGAGTAACCCTCCTCAGTTGGCTGTGTGCTGAGTCCAGAAAATGGAGCAATGCTGACTATATTTAGATGAATAATAAAAGATAATAAAATACAACTTTGAGATAGAACATAGCTGGCAAGCCCTGCTTTAAACCCATATATGTTCTGTTCTCTTTTCCCTTACTAGTCTTTCAACTGAAGCTTTGGGAGCAGGGAAGATAATCTAAGACAGTTTATCTTCTCAAGGCTATATCTCTTTCTTCTGATTATGCCCCACCCCTTTTTCTTTATTATCTTTCCCTATGGGTTTCTTTTTGAGCTAGCATGCCCAAATTCTCACATGATGAAGCCATTCCAGCCCATGGACTCACAAGTAAAGCTGTCTCTCAAAAAACAAAACAAAACAATAACTGCCTTCAGCAATTCTGTGTTTGCACACTCAGTGTTTGATTTCTCATGTCTGAATTTCCTATCTTTTTGTCCAAGCCTGAAGGAATCAAGAAAGAGCATACCTTCAGCTCACTGTTGTGCCCATCAGGTGAGAACCTTTCAAAACTGCAATGAGATAGTGACTTAAGATGCCTGCTTAGAGATCTTTCAATATTCCTATAAGAAAATCAGAATACTGTATACCTTATAAACCCTAAAACACCAACAAAACCAAGTCTCATAAATTATGATCATAATTTACCTGATGCAGGTCTAAAGAGTATTGCTCGCCTGGGAATTCATGGTTCACTATAGCCCTTTTTATTTTTAGAATACAGAAGCCTCTTCCTCAATCTCAATAGTTAGAAAGTTATAGAAAAAAATGACTGAAGTCACAGTTGAGATTTTCTCTAAAAAGCGAGGGTGAGAATATATAAAATATCCTGGAAAGAACCACATTTTTTGTGTTAGACCATAAATAAAAACAAAGATTTATATGGCTGAAAAATTGCATACATAAGCCAAGCTAAATCATGGTATGTACTTAGCATAACATTTTCCTCTAGTGCTTGTTTTTATGCCTTACTTTTTTATCCCTGCTCATCACTGGAAGCTAACTATTTCAAAGGAAATATAGCAACATATCACACAAGAGGAAGCTCACTGCCCTCTAGGATGGACAAGCATAAGGTCAGGGACTGTCCACTTACAATAATGAGCATTGCAGCACCTCTGTTAGCAAGTGCTTGTAGTGTCTACTCAAAACATATTTGTCAAAAGAATAAAGAAGTTAGAGTAATAACTTTAATTTAATGTAGAACCTACTATTATATGCATGTTAACAAATGAGGTTAAAGAAAATTTCTTTGTTAAACAGGTAAACTAATGTAAGAGATCCTATTACAGAAGAAAGTCATCACATAATACTAAAATACTTTAAATGTTTTCCATGAAAGAAAGAACAGGAAAGGGGTCACTGGAGATAATTTTTTTTAAAGAGCCAAAGATAGAGTAGCAAAAGCCCTCTTCTTTCCACTGGTCAACTCTGCTTCCCCTCATAGTTACTGATTATAATGTAATCTACCTACTATCCCTGCCATAGGAAAGCATCAATGACAGCTGCATGGAAGAGATCAGAGAGCCTTCCAAGCAACTCAGGGAACAGGAAGAACAAAAGCAGGCTCACGATTTCACCATTCCTTTATTCTGACATATGAGATGTTTAGTCACATATTGCTTTGTTTTAGGGTTCCATTCTTTTTCTAAAACACCATAACCAAAAGCTACTTTGAGAGTTGATCAGCTTACATGACCACAGTCCATCATGAAGTGAAGTCAGGGCAGGAATCTGGAAGCAGGAACTGAAGCCAAAGCTGTGGAGTGGTGCAGCTTCCTAGCTTGCTCTGCCCTTGCTCAGTTTGCTTTCTTATACACCACAGATGGTGGACACTGGGCCAGGACCTGCCACATCTATTACTAAAAAAGAAAAGCTTCAAGACTGGCTTACAGCCCAAGGGTTAGGGAGGCATTTTCTCAATCGAAGGTCTCCATTCCCAGAAAACACTAACTTATGTTAATGTGTACACACACACACAGGATTTTCCTAAACCAAAATTCAGTCAATAAGACAGTTTCATGTGTTTATTAAAATAACTAATTAAGGAACTGATAGAAGTAGAGGAACACAGATCCCAGAGGCTCAGACATTCCATTTTGAACAAATGATTTGTTTCAAAGCAATGGGTGATGAAAGGGAAGGCAATCGAGATTGAAAAGCCTGTGGTACCAGGAAATGTGGATTTGTGATATTTACATCCAGGTCAGTTTTCCTAGGGAGGCAAGAACTCAGAGCTTAAGACACGGTTCTGAATCCAGTGATCTCAGGGCACTTTAGATGTGCAGAGAACAGAGATGATCATCTACCGGTTTGTTTTGCTTATTAAGATGCAGAGGTATCGGAAAAATTGTCCCTGGTGCTCCCACCAACAGTAGTGAAGGATTCAGCCAGAGCCCATTTCTCTGTGATGGGTGAGTCAATTCATCCCTGGGAGACTTGGAACATAGTCACTAACCCTGCCCTGTCCCCACCACGATTCCAAATGTAGAGTCTGAACTACTACACTTGATCTCTTTAACATCCTTAATACCAACTAAATAATACTGGTAATATTTAATAAATGGGGCTGTGTGGGCCGACCATCTAAATGGCAGAATCTCTGCCTAGCTCAAGCCACCATGATCCAAGACTTGAAGCCAAGGGCTCCACAGCTGGAAGAGGCCAGAGGCCACTGGTGTGCCACAGCTAGAAATGGCTAGCCAGAAACACTGGCCCTGGCATCCACTAGATGCCAGCATGGGATATGGCTCTGCCAATCTTCAAAACTGTCTCTACAAGGCTGGCCTGAGCCCAGATCCTTCCCCCATCCATGAGCTACCCAGAAGAAATGAGACTCTAATGTTGAAAGATTATATAATAAATTTATATATTTGATAATGCTCAAATAACAAGGAGCCGACACAATTAGAGGTGTTACCCGATACCTAACTTAGATATTTCAACTACCTTAGACTGCTGGAGACACACGTACATCCACTGCCATTCACCCTCTCTCTCCACTTTTTTTTTCCTAGCTCCTCATCTTCCTTCTCCTTACTACTTCCACATTAGCTCCTCCCAAAATACCGAGTTTAATATAGAAGAAAATATACTGCTATACCCACTGGGTTCCAGCACACATAACCCATAAAATTTCTTGACATCACTGAGAAGTGGTTTTATTGAAGATGGCATTTTGCTCTTGAAGAAAATGGCAATTCTGATGTCCTGCCTCTCACTTCCAGGTGATATCTTGAGTTCAGCTATAAAAAACACGCAAAATCTTCTCCAGATGCCCTATGGCTGTGGGGAGCAGAACATGGTCCTTTTTGCTCCCAACATCTACGTACTGAAATATCTGAATGAAACCAACCAGCTGACTCCGAAGATCAAGTCCAAGGCCCTTGACTTCCTCAGAGCTGGTCAGTAAGGCTCAGAAACTACACCTGGTTCTTATAAATATTCTCTCTAGAAATGTCTAGAAATGGGCTTAGCATTGGAGGAGAGAGCTGAGCAATGTTCTCGGTCAGTCCTATAAGGAGGTTTCGTGAGGGTCTCTCTGATTTCAGATTTACTGCTTTCCATTCTCTGATGAATCAGTGTCTTCAGAACACACCCAAAGCCTTCTATTCCAGGTTATCAGAGGGAGCTGAACTACAAACACAAGGATGGCTCCTACAGTGCCTTCGGGGATCAATTTGGCCAGAGTCAAGGAAACACTTGGTAAGAAAAGTCCACTCTATGCCAGGCCTTGTACAACTCTTGTTCTTCACAGCAGCTATACATTCATCTTATTTCATGGGAGTCTAGCAGATGCCTGGACCTGAGAGGGACATGTCTGAGGTAACACAAGTCATAGATTGCAGGAATAAGATCCCCTCAAGGCTCATCTGCTTTGACTCTGTACCATGTGCTTTACTGTCTTCAGTAAGCTGGTGTTTTCACTTCTCTACAAGATCACATTCATCAGTAAATGCCTGGCTACATTTGGCTGAGCATCCAAAGATGCTCATAACTGAGATTTGAAAAGCTGATGCCATTCTTCATGTGACCTTGCATTGCATAAGAATGTATTATTGATGGCTGTAGAGATGGCTCAGTGGTAAAGAGCACTGAGGGTTCTTCGAAAGGTCCTGAGTTAATTTTCCAGCAACCACAGGGTAGCTCACAACCGTTTATAATGGGCTCTGATGCCCCCTTGTCGTTTGTCTGAAGAAACCAACAGTGTGCTCACATACATAAATAAATAAGTCTTTTTTAAAAAAGTATTCAGTAACTTAAAAAATAAAACAAAGCAAAACAAAACAAAAAGACTGTGTTATTGAGATAAAAATACACAAATGACCAACAGGTGACAGAGGAAAAAGAGACTGGCATAAACTAGAGATAAACCAAGAAGAGGGATTTAATTTTTTGAGGCAGAAAACATATAGCTGGGGTTTTTAGGAAAGAAGATTATTCTTATCTATAAAGGAAATCACAGGAAGTAGGGAAAGTCTAGGATAAGCATGCAGGTGTGTCACTTAAACACGAAAGAGTGCAGGATAGAAGCAATGAGAAAGGAAAGCAGGAAGCACCTGGTGAGTGCCCATCCAAGTGGACCAAGGAATGGAAGACTTCTTTGGAGTAGCTAGAGTCACTGTCAATCTGTTCTTCTCAGAGACCCTTAGACTGATTGGTCATGAGTGTGGACTGGTCCCTTGGAAACCCATGTATGGAGGAGCTGCCTCATAACTAAAGCTTCATCCCCCACTCTCCCTCTCTCTCCCATCAGGCTCACAGCCTTTGTGCTCAAGTCTTTTGCACAAGCTCGAGCCTTCATCTTCATTGATGAGTCACACATCAACCAAGCCTTCACCTGGCTCTCCCAGCAGCAGAAGGACAATGGCTGCTTCCGGAACTCTGGGTCACTCTTCAACAATGAGTTGAAGGTGATCTTTTCTGAACTGATGATCTAATAACACCTTAAAGTCAGGTCATACTGCTTACCATGGGGAGGAATAAGCCTCTAGGTTGGGAATGTACTTTTTCATTATGGGATATGAATGGGAACTTCCGTTGAATACATGGATTGGCCACGAGCGGGGAAGGCAATGTTGATGGATTGCTTGCTGTATATTCTGATGATCTCACTCCTTGTTTGCAGGGGGGAGTAGATGATGAAATGACCCTCTCTGCCTACATAACCATAGCCCTTCTGGAAAGTTCACTTCCAGACACGGTAGGTGCCATGCTGCTTTTCCAGCATCCAAGAGTGGTATAAACCCTGTGGCTTTGTAACTTTTCTAAAGTCAAGTGCCATCTTCCTTTTTGTTTTGTTTTGTTTTATTTTGTTTTGTTTTGTTTTCAATGCTTTGCATTTGTCTGATTCCATTAATGAGCATCCACTTGCTCAATGAAACCCTGGATATGTTACAAAGATCAACCTGAAAACACAAGCTCTGATACTGTCCCTGTTAGTCTGTATCTTAAACAGAATGTAGATTACAACAAGGAATGGCTCCAAAAATATAGAGAAGTGGGTAGAAAGATAATCAATGACAGGAAGAAGATAGTAAAGAAAGAAGGGAAGAAGGGAAGGAGGATAAGAGGGGAAGGAAGGAAACAGGTAGAAAGAGAAGGAGGAAAAGCAAGGGATGGAGAGAAAGGGAAGGACAAAGAGAGGGAAGGAAGATGGAAGGAGAGAGTGGGAGAAAGAATGGAAAGTAAAAAGGAAGGGAGGAGAGGAGGAGTGGGGAGGGTAGAGGAAGTAAGGGAGGAAAGGAGAAAGGAATACAGGGAGGGAGAGGGAAGAAGGGAGAGGGAAGTAGGGTAAGGTGATGGAGGGATGGAGAAAGATTGGGGAGGGAGGAGAAGGGGGGAAGGGGAGGAGAGGGAGGATTGATTTGAAAAGCATAAACACTATAGCCTCCATATTTGTACTGGGACCTGCTAGGACCTTTTTCACATAACTTAGTATTCCTTGTTCTGCCAAAAGCATCCTGTCATCTCCAAAGCCCTGAGCTGCCTAGATTCATCCTGGAAGACCATAGAGCAAGGAGGAGATGGTAGCTTTGTGTACACCAAGGCACTGATGGCCTATGCTTTTGCCCTGGCGGGGAACAAGGATAAGAGAAATCAAATCCTGAAGTCACTTGATAAGGAAGCTATAAAAGAAGGTAGGTGTGTGTGTTCTCATGTTTGTCTCCATCCAGCTCCAGTGAAGGAAAACAGGGGAGCATATGGTGTGTGGAAAGAGCATTCATGTCAGTCCCCTCTCTATGGCACACTGAGGTTTCTCCTTGGGCTGCCCCATTAAGAAATGAGTCTTCCTTTTATACAAAAGCCTTCTGTTTGGTATTTTCTGATAGTGTGACCAAAATCAACAAATACAATATCACAGTAGAACAAATGCAGGTCTAACTCAGTTACAGAGCTGAATGTTCTTAAATCCCAGCTTTTCTCTACTACCTGTAAACCTACCAGGAGCAGCAAAGGCTATGAAGAACACAAAGAGGAAAGATGCATCGAGGTTTTGCTATTTCGGTGGCAACTCTGACCTCACTGGAACACTTTAGTAGTCATTTGGTTTGAAAGCTGAACAAGTGAGGTTTTGTTGGATGTGAAGGAGTTAATGAGTAAAAGGATCCTGTTGGCTACTGTCCCTTCACCAACTCTGCTAGACCACCATTGAGGATACAATTTAGTTAATAACTTACATATTTTTGTCCATACTTTTTCTCAATCACGACCCATAACACCAACTGAAGATTTTTACTGTGGGTTAATAAATGTGGACATTTTGTGAGTGAAAATTTTAAAATCTTCCAAAATCTTTTATAGTTCCTTCTTTCTGCATGTGGACATGCAGTCACTTACCACTCAGATATTTCATTATTTCTCTATTTTTACAGTTCCTTCTTTCTGCATGTGGACATGCAGTCATTGACCACTCAGATATTTCATTATTTCTCTATTTTTACCATAAGACAACTCCATCCATTGGGAAAGACCTCAGAAACCCAGGAAGTTCGAGGACAGTTTGTACAAACCCCAGGCTTCTTCTGCTGAAGTAGAGATGAGTTCCTATGTTGTCCTGGCTTGCCTTACTGCCCAGCCAGCCCCAGCCCCTGAGGACCTGACTTTGTCAATGAGCACCATCAAGTGGCTCACAAAGCAGCAGAATTCCCATGGTGGCTTCTCTTCCACACAGGTCAGTGGTTTTCCTTCAAAGTCCCCATGTACTGAGGGGATTTGAAGAAGAGATCCAGGGAACTTAGAAAGGGGAAGAGGAGAGAAGAACAAGGACATGTTACTTGTGGATATTTTGTGTCTGTAGGAAGTGAGGGCTCCTGTATTCCATAATAAATTGCCCTAGTTCCTGTTCCTGGCCACAGGAGTTCTCTTCAGACCACAGTTACGGAAACATTCCTACATTGCCTAGAACATCTAACCCAAATCCAACCCTTAATATAAAACAATGGTAAAAATCCTGGACTATCCAGAATCCTAGACATAGTTACTACACTCTAGAACAGCATGTGGAAACCTAAGAGCAAATCGGCATGTCTTTTGACCTACTGACCTTAGGTACAGCTGTTTCCCTTCTCCTTATAGACTCTCCTTAATCTTATGGAATGGCATATCACCCTCAGGTTTTCTCAAAGCTATCCAGAGTTCCTGCTGCCCTGCTTTACCTCTTGATAACTTGGGAACAGACAGGACTGTAAACTATTCATTTTTCATCTAGACAGTATAACTCCCATCTCCAAAATTATACATCTACCATAATAACTATATTTATTTTGGGTATATAGGGCAGAATTAATCTCCAGAGAAATATAGTGTGACAGTAGTGTCCTCTAAAGGAGAAATACAATGTGTGAAAAGAAAACTTCCATGATACTAGCCACCTTGCTTTGAAGCTCAGTTCTTTCTATCTCCCCTTTCAATAAACTGTAAGTGTTGTGATTATAAAACCCTCGATGCATGCATCTACTCTCTTTTTGGACTCTGTTCTCAGGACAGCATCTGGAGCTCCCTGAATAAGGAAGGATCATGTTACAGAGATCCTTCCTGGAGCATGAAGTACACTTGTACAGAGCATACCACTGTGGAACAAGGCAGTGAAGAACAACACTAGATCATAGATTTTTTTTTTTTCTATTTAATAAGACTGAATTAGGACAGGCACTTGGCCATGTTGTTTGTATGTCTTGATGACTCAGCAAGGGCAAAAGCAAGTTTGTTAAGGAGACCAGGGATGTGATTTTGTGGGAAGATGGAGGGTGTAACCATGGGAACCTGGGACAGAGGAAGAAAAACAACAAATGCTGGGAGGAAAATCTAATTTGTATTTATATTTTCTGCTGGCTGTAGGGGTTCATTTGCATATGCTAGGATACTCTAAGGAGGAGAAAACATGTGAATGTTTTGGACTCTCAAATATATTCTATATAAAAGCCTGAAATAAAGTCTAGAGCTCAAATAATTAGAGACAAAATCTCCTGAAAGCTTGTCACAGCTAGAATGAACTTTGGGAAGAGCTCCAGAAATTCCAAAGGGATGCTATCCTGAACATTTTATTCATTCCTGTCAGGACACAGTGGTGGCCCTCGATGCTCTGTCCAAATATGGAGCAGTTACTTTTTCCAGAAGCCAGAAATCTTCTTTGGTGACCATCCAGTCTTCAGGGTCATTTTCCCAAATGTTCAAAGTAGAGAACAGTAATCGCCTGTTACTGCAGCAGGTCCCATTACCAGACATTCCTGGGGACTATACCATCAGTGTGTCGGGTAAAGGATGTGTATATGCTCAGGTAAGATGCTGGGAAGTTGTGGGTATGCAGCTGTGAGCCTCCTTTCCTAAAATGGAAAGACTTTGACTACCTGCACACATTATGCTCAAATTGGAAAAATTGAGCCAAGGACGCAATGCAATGGAGGTGAAGTATTTCTGTTCACTGCTTATCAGACTGCGCTGAGATACAACATGCAATTGAAGAAGCAGAAGGCTGCATTTGCTCTACGAGTACAGACAACACCTCTAACCTGTAATAATCCCAAAGGCCAGAACAGCTTCCAGATCTCACTAGAAATCAGGTATTTGATAGGCATGTGTGTGTGTCTCTGTATGAGCATCTGACTCTGTCTCTCAGCTACCATAGAGCTATCTTCCTAGAACTCTATACAGAACATGTTTGAAGATATCTAAAATGAGTGTCTTCATTAACATTTTTGCTTTGTAAAAAAAAACTGAACTTCAGCTAAGTGAACAATGAAGAATTATAGAATTATGATTTCTAATAAATCTATTTCTAGGGTTTTTTCTTGCCCTCTATCATAGTAAAATAATACATTATTCTTTTCCATGAGACATTAACATGGGTTATTCTTCTTCACCAACAAAAAATAGCCTACTTGGTCTTTTAAAATTCTATCTTTTATTTGAAGATAAAGACATTCAGTTCTTCTGACACTCATCAAAAACTTCATACAAAATATAACCTGCAACAGGGTCCAACTGCAGAACTGACGGGATCTTGATGGAAAGAATTCATCCAATCCATAGAGTGACTTATCATCATATGTACGTGTGTGTGTGTGTGTGTGTGTGTGTGTGTGTGTCAGCACGTGTGTGTATGACAAAGGACAATGTCAGCCATCAGCCCTCAGGTTCCATACATACTTGCTTTTGATATTAGGTCACCTTACCAGCTAAGCAGATTGCTATCTCACCAGCATGCCTGGCAGATCCAGTCAATTTAATGCATTCTCCAGTTAATTTTGTTATGCAGACTATTTATTTTGATTATAAAGTCCATATATTTTTAAGGTATGGAAAAATCACAGAGGCTATATCAGGAATTACTGCTGGACCTCAAAGGAGGCAAGATTCAAACTATTAAAATGACTCTTGTCTGCTTCTCTGGTCTGTAGTTACACGGGGAGCCGTCCAGCCTCCAACATGGTGATTGCTGATGTGAAGATGGTATCTGGTTTCATCCCATTGAAACCAACAGTGAAAAAGGTAAGCAGGGATGAGATGTTTGGATTCTCTGTATCCTCAGACTAGGTCCTACCAACACCATCATAAGTATGTCAACCCATGTCAAAGCAATATTAGCACTCACTTAACACACTTGAAGTTCTTAAAATACTGATTGATATAGGCATGGATTGTGATGCAGCCAGCACAAGAAAGATAAGAAAGGTGTCTGAGTCCACTAGTCCACAATCTAGCTAACAGTAACTTTTAAAGTGCAATCAACCTGATCAATAATGACTCCGGAGAAAATATTAAATGCCAAAATTGCAGGTGTAGTTTTAGATGTTTTAAGAACTATGAAAATGAACAAGGTAAAGTTGATAGCAGAGCTGAGAGAATATGGGGTAAGTACTGCTAAGTGGGTGACTGTTTTTATGTTCAACCAAAAGTTAAAAACTACCTATTACTACATCAAATCATATTCAGTCAGGCCTTTAGTAGAATAGAATTCACAATTTTCTAAATATATGTTCACTCTTACTGGAAAGGTTTCTTCCCATTCCTTTAAGTGAATTCAATAACATCCCCTTTTTATCACCTGCAGTCTCACAGTTCATTTACTTCTCTCACACCAAGGTCTTTCCTTTTTCAGTAACACAGGAGTTTTCTCTTATTTTCAGCTTGAAAAATTAGAGCACTTGAGCAGAACGGAAGTGAGCAACAACAATGTCTTATTATATCTGGATCAGGTACGGTTCCTTCCTGTCTCTTTAGATATGCTGAGGTGGACAGTCCTTGCTTGATCTATGTAGGTCAGGTGAAGGTCCTTCCTACCTTCCTCTACTTACCGAGGTAGACAGTCTTTCCATGTGGGAATCATGTAGCACAAGAGAAGCAATTTTGAAGGAAGCTTTGAGAATTAGAGGCATGTTTCCTCATACTACATGATAGTTTGAGTTCTTTTTCTCTGCCCTGGATTCCTGATTCAGCAGTTAAGGGCTCTTACTGCTCTGGCAGAAGATCAGAACTGAGTTCCCAGGAACAATACCAACTCAAAATTGTAACTCCAGTTCCAGGAGATCTAATTCTCTCTTCTGGGCTCCAGTAGTATACACACACACACACGAACACACACATAATAACAACAACAACAATAATAATGATAATAATAAAACAAATTTTTAAATTTTCTTTCCTCATTGCTGGCTTTCCTAGGACTTAGCATAGAGTCCCAAGTTAGCAGGTCAAAGGGTTTAACTCTCACAGTGGACAATGTCAAATATCATACATTAAGGAGAAATATGGATTTTTGGAATGGTTTAATAGACTGGAAACATTTCATATACTCCCAGAGGCCTCTACTTCAGTTCCTCAAGTCCTAGTCTAACATCCATATCACCATATCACTGTCCACATAGGTGGACAGTTACTGAAGACAGTGACTGTAGGGTTAAATACTATCCAATGGATAACTGAGTCAGGCTGAAGAAATACACTGGCCCCTTTCCTGAGTCTGGATCATTTTTTCCTCTGTCCCAGGTGACCAATCAGACGCTGGCCTTCTCCTTCATCATTCAACAGGACATCCCAGTAAGGAACCTGCAGCCTGCCATTGTGAAAGTCTATGACTACTATGAGACGGGTGAGCAAGAGATGGTAGTGGATCCCAAAGAAACTTGTCCTTTTGTTGTTGTTGTTGTTGTTTTACAATTTCTAATTATGTAGCACAGGTTGGCCCAAATTCTCAGTCCTCCTGACTCAGCCTCTCAAATGCTGATATTACAGGTATATGCCATGATATCCACTATTAAAAACAATTGTTTTTCAGACACTGACCCATCATGTAGGCCAGACAACCATTTATAAAATCTCAGTTTATTCAGTCACTCATGCCTTGCTCCTGGATGTCCAAGCAATCATGTGGGATCAAACATGTCCAAATAACCCAAGGGACCAAACATTTTACAAAGTAGGGACTACAGGATGAAAGACACACAAATGTTCTTATGAACACAGCCATGGGAAGACGAAAAGTTGTACAAATAATTACAGAAGGAATAAAAAGATGAGAGAGTATTGTATCCTGTGTGCTCAGTGGTAAATACAGAAATAAAGCAAAGCCAGAGCAGGGAAATTAAATTGAGGGTTTTCAGTCAAGTGAAGAGATGTAGGAAATGTTTCAGACTAGAATAATTCAGAAAATATTGAAGGAAAAGCAGAAACATAGAACAGAATCGGAAAGGATGCATGTCTCCAAGGATCGTGGCTAGTACTCTGTTCAAACACTGTAGGAGAAGCTCACTATGATTTTTCTCTATAGGGTAAATGATTCCAATGTTGTTATACATTCATTTCTTTATTGTGTGAGAGGTTGATGCATCACTGTGCCTGTGGAGGACAGTGGGCCATTTGGGAAAATGTGTTCTCTGCATCTGCCATGAGGATCCTGAAGACTGAACTCACTGAGGTCATCAGGCATGGCTGCAAGCACCTTTCCCCACTGAGCCATGTTGCTGGCCCAGGGTAAAAGTGTCAACCAGGGAATTCAAGGGGAGAAAATCCCTCCTTTGGTTTGTCTGATGTCACCAGAGAGATAATTTTTCTGCAGTCATCCAGGTCCTGATTGAGGAAAGTGGTCAGTCCTAACATATCAGTTATCCTCCTCAAAATCCTCTCTCAAAAGCTCCTATTCTCAAGTTTGACTCCCATGTCTTTCAGATGAAGTGGCTTTTGCTGAATACAGCAGCCCCTGCAGCTCAGGTGAGCAACACACATTCCTACCACAAGCCTTCCTCTGACCTCTTCTCCTCAAAATTGCCCCAAACTTTTGTTAGATGAGCTCAGACAGTTCTCACTGAGTGAAAATGCAGAAATGTGCATCTTTGGATTGGTGTAGTAACCCTGGAAGACTCCTCTAACTCTCTTACCAAAGTGTATGGTAGTTCATCATTTTTCTATGATGAACTATATTTTCTTATATTTCTATATTTTCTTATGAAGGATCCTGTTCTCCACAAAAGCCAGTTTGCTTTCCTGCAGAAAACCCTGCTGTCTGTACCCAGTTTGATTAAATTCACCACATGGGCTGTTATCTTCTCTTCCTGTACATATACAGGCAAACAAAATGTTTGAGACTCCTATCTGCGGACAAGGCATTGGTGCAACTCTAGACCCAGGAACCTTCAAGATTGTGATTTGTGTTTGTCTCTGAAATAGAAATACTGGAAAAGCTTGGTAAATAAATGCATAGTTCTTGAGAGTCTCTAGCTGTGATTATTTTTCACTTAATCCAAATTTGCTCCATGTTCTGTTAGTGTTTTTCTCTATACCTTACATTTGTGATGAGCAGAAATGACATTTAAAGAGAAGAGCATGCATTGTGAACATGGGGAACACATTACAACTGCTTCTGTAAAACAGCGCTCCAAACATGAGGCATAACACAGGATGGAAGGTATTAGTATTAGTATTAGTTAGACAAGACTATATTGAAAGCAAGAAATGGCGATTCAGGCTTATATTCAGAGCATTTCTGGAGGACCAGGCAGGAGAATTACAAATTAAAGAATGAACTAGGCTACTTTGCAAGTGCCAAGTGAGCTTGAGCTTCATACCAAAACTCTCTCTCAAAAAATCAAAAAGCAGGGTTGTGGTTTGGTGGTAAAACACTAGATGATTTTCAAATCTGTGGACTCAGTTACTAACAGGGAAAAGCAAGGGATATAATAGATCCAGGTAAAAACACTTTTTACAAAGGAAAAAAACGACAGGTCTTTAGTGCCAGGAAAATAGATATGCTTACCTTACTGACCAGCGGGGTGCCATGTTGAAGACTGCAGTGATAAATCTATTAAGTTATGTAATGGAAGGCATACTGATTGAATGCAAAATGTCCATGACTGGCTTGGGTGTTTGAGCACTTGTTTGATCCCAAGCTGGTGCTGATCTGCAAGGCTGTAAAATCTTTGGGGGATGGGTCCTAGCTGGAAGTAGGGGTGAAGCTTAAGAATTCTAGCCCAGCCAAGTTCTGTTTGCTTCTTGACCTATGAAGTAGGAGGAATCCATTTCACAAGTTGTTCCATCCTTGAACCTAAACATTCCAAGCCACTATGCTTCCCTACCATAACAGGCTATTGTCCCCTGGACCTGGGAACTATCAGCTGATGACCAGGCATTTACACACATGAGTCTATGGAGATATTTGAGATTCAAACCCTAACAGCCTGTTATTCTGGAGCCTGTGGGAAGGCAGCATGTCACAGGAGGGATTCACTCACTTAAGGGTCAAAATTCAAGAGAGAGACAAAAGAGACGACAGAATCCCAAAATCCCCTCTGTGAATTATCTTTTGCCCATTGGCCAACCCCTTTTAAAAGTTCCACCACCTCCCAATGGCACCACATGCTGAGGGCCAAACCTTGAACACAAGTGTACAGCTGTAAAGGCGATAGTTTTTAATGTGACCTTTTTGTAGTTGTTGGGGATTTAAGAGTTGAATGATATCCTCACAGGGCTAATGGGACCTGGGTCCTCCTCACTGGCTTACTGTTTTTCTTTGGTCACCATGAGGTTAGAACTTGACTTAGTTTTACTTTGGTTTGTTGTGTCCTGTGGCCTCTGTGCTCCCTCAGCACAGAACCTAAAACTGGGGCCATCAATCAATCAAAATGAAACTTTCCCTTCTAAGTAGATTGTGGCAGATAAGTGCTCCAGTAAACAAAAGGCTGTCCTGGTAGAAGCAAGAGAGCAGTGTTTACTCATGCCACTGTGAAACTGGAGAAATGAGTTGAGGGTAATGTATCAAGGGTCTTTATCACAGCTGTGTAATCACGTGTGATTTTGGAGGGCAACAAATGGCAAACAGAGGTGTGGTGGGAAAGTTACAACAGATCTGTCTCATGGAAATGTTGGAAAACTAGGTGTAAATATATTCAACTTCTTTAGAACATTTGTTATTTAATTTTTAGGGAAAGCCAAAATGGTTTCAGCCAATACAACAAGTTCTAGTTTTATCTCTTAGGAGACAAAATCAGAGTCTCCTAAGAGAATTTAACAATGGATTTTTTTCTAAAGACAAGCCCAGCTTCCTGTGCAAATTTTTTTAGACTCCATTTAGGTAAGGAAACAGGATGGAAAATGTATTTCCAGAGTCATTGTGTATCTTTTTTATTATTCTTATTAATCATTTTATTCATTTACATTTCAAATGATATGCCCCCTTTTCAGTCATCCCTGTCCCATGACCCTGGCCCTCTCCCCTTTGCCTCTATGAGGGTAATCCTTCACCCACCCACCCACTCCTTCCTTACTCCTCTAGAATCCCACTATTCTAGAGGATCAAGCCTCCCTCCCCTCTCGCTGATGTCAGATAAGGCCATCCTCTGCTACATATGTATCTGGAGTCTCGAATCCCTCCATGTACACTCTTTGGTTGGTGGTTTAGACCCTGGGAGCTCTAGGTGGTCCAGTTAGTTGATGTGTTCTTCATATGAGCTTTCAATCCCCTTCAGCTCCTTCAGTCCTTCCCAGAGCTCTTCCTTTGGTGTCCCCAGACTCAGTCAGATGGTTGGCTGTGAGCATCTGCATCTGTATGGATCAGGTGCTCATAGAACTTCTCAAGGAACAGTCTTATCAGCCTCCTGTCAACAAGCACTTCTTGACATCAGCAATAGTGTGGTGTTTGTTGTCTGCAGATTGGATGGATCCCTAGGTGGGTGTATCTTATTTTGAAGTGGAATTTAGGAATGGGAGACTATTTAAATTAGGCTAGGTACAGATTAGTGGGATTTTAAAGCCTAAATACTATTATGAAAGACAGATGGCATATGCTGGATGCATGTCTCATATTCTATGTGCTGTTATTTGTTATTTAATGTGTGTTTCCTATGTTTGTTCCTGTTCTGCTCAGAAGTACTTGAAACTATCTGCCCCCATCCCCCATCACAGTAAACATTCAAGTTTTACAATGGATTTTGCTTTTGTTAGACTTAGGTGTATATTTCAAAATAGTAAAGTTCTACTCTAGTAAATATATTTCTGTCACCAAATTATAACAAATATAAATAGACACATATATAATCATCTCCTTAATAGTTTGTGTAGATAATACATAGATCACAGCTAAATAAAGTTCTAGACATATAAGAGTTTCGATTACCACATGGTGGCAGCAAAAGCTAAAAATATAAGTACTGTCATTTTATTAAAAGTATGCAAAAATAAGAAATTGGGAACATACTCCAGTGGGTGGCCCTATGCCACATGTAGACAGACAACTCTGACTGGACTCAGTGCATGACAAAAGAGGAGGAAGAGAAAGAAGATGAAGTTCAGAGAGTAACATGAATTGGACAAGATGATCAAAGAATAAATGAAATAAAATAGTCAAAAGGAAGGGAGATGGGGGAAAGGAAAATAACCATAAAATGTAAAAATGACAAAGTAAAAAAGTAATATTTAGAGCATAATATTCCACTCTCTTTAACCCACCAAAGCCACAGTCACAGCTTCCAGAGACTGAACTCCAGTAACCAGAAAGTCTAGAGTAAACAAATATTTGACTAGATCATATACATTTCTAGACATAAGTATGATACAGACCATGGCAACATCAACAGTGAAAACAGAATTAATAATCCACAGAAGGTAGTTATTGACAATCATGCTGATTAAGCCAATTAAAAGATTAAAAGTATGTGAATAGTTTTATTAACAAGTGACCAAGAGCAGACTTCGAAGTCTCTTGGTGCCACAGTTCAGAGGGACAACATTTTTTAAGGCAAAAAAAAAAAAAAACAAAAAAAAAACCTACAATTACGTCAGTGTTTGAATGGGGTGAGAGCAGCATAAGTCTTTTTGCAGGTCTTACTGGTTTTTCCAGACATCTCATGAAAATTATTTTTGGCTTACACTTCCTCTTAGTCATTTTGGTTTTATGTTTTAGCCAGCACAAACATAAATAATTTTGGTTAACAGGACTGGAATATAGTCAGAGACATAGACAGTCTCAAAAGCATTGACAAGGAGGTGGTGGCTACTCAGGGAAGGGGAACTGGAAGGCTGAATATTGTCAAGGCTGGAACAAAACAGAGACATGGCAAGATGCTGACACCTTAGCGATTTCATTACAATGAGCAATGAAACCAAACCAAGACCATAGCATCCCCTCAGAAGAACTGAAGAACTAATAGATCCAGTTCTGAATTCTATAGAACCTTTAGAAAAGGACTAACATAAATATCTTTCACCTTGTTCCATAACTAGAGAGGGAAGGAATGCCTCCTCAACTCACATGAACTGAAGGAAAGGCTCAAGTTAAACATTTCTACAACTGGCATTATCCTGACACCAAAACCAGATAAGTACATACACCCCAGAGTAACATGAAAAAACACTTTCTTTGATTAATATCACAGATGTTCATCTAAGATAAACATAAACACAAAAGTCCTAAAAAAATTACAAATTTAATTTGACTTTAGAAAGGTCATGCACCAAGAAAAAACTGCCTCTTGTTTTTGAGTACAAAGATGGCTTGACCAATTAGTAAGTGTGCTGAAGCACATGATCACTCCAATATGCATGAAAGACTTTCACCACATCAGGTGTTCCTCCATTATCAAAAGACAAGAAAAAACTAGCAACAGAAAGAACACACTTCAGCATCATAAAGACTATGTACATCATACAGATAGATAACATTCTGCTAAATAGAGAAACATGAAGCTTTTCCTCTGACGTCAAGAATGAGACAAAGATGTCCTTTCTGGCCTTTCTTATTGAATATAATACTTGAACCACATCAGGCATGATGGTGTATGCCTTGAATTCCAGCCCCTGTAGTCTGTGACAGTTGGATCTCTGTACTTTAAATGCCAGCCTGAAGTACATTGTGAGACTCTATCTCAAAAAAAAAAAAAAGAAAAGAGAAGAAAAGAAAAGAAGAGAAGGGAAGGGAAGGGAAGGGAAGGGAAGGGAAGGGAAGGGAAGGGAAGGGAAACAAAAGCAAAGACAGTTGAAATTTTAGTCAGAGAAAATAAAAGAAATATAAATAAGAAGTGTGGACATCAATTTAACTTTTGCAGATGACAATGATCTCAAAAGACACTAAGGACTCTACCAAAAGACTCTTATATCTGATAAATACTGTCAGAAAAGTAGTAGGAGGACTACCTAGGGTACAAATATTACATTCACAATAGCCTAAAATAATGAAAAACCTAAGTATAAACATCATCAAAGATATTAAGACCTCTGTGA